CCTTCAGTTAAGCCTTTCATGGGTGGTCCACCACTGAGGGCTTCCTCCTCCGAACAAAGTCAGCAGGGGAGTGGGTGCAAAGGGCAGGAGGCAACGAAGGAATGGGATAGAAGGGGGATGAGGGAACAGCGAACAGGGAAGGCAGAGTGGAGGAAAAACACAAAGAGAAAGAGAAGGAAAAACACTGTGAGTGAGAGAAGTCATGCCAACCGGAATATTTGTATCCCATTCTTCTTATCCGCATGGTTACACTGGTCTTGTGAAGGACACTCAGCATTTTAGACAAAGCCTAGGAGCCTTAAGTGCCTGACATCCTCAAAAAGGACCACAGGAAGTTCTTTTCACCCTCACTGGTTCATTTCACCTGTGACCAAGAATTTATGGGGAAATATGCTTTCATTAAATGTATCTGCTCTTTACAATGTTCTTACGTTCTATGCATTCGACAGTGGAGCTCGAGGCAGGTGGCCAGAAGTGGGGAGGGAAGGGTTGCGGCCCAGCTCAGGCACCACGAAGCAGTGTGGTTTGGTCCCTTCCCACCTCTGTCCTCCAGCAGGCTTCTCTCCTGTGGAACAGGGCTATTATCCTCCGTTCTCTCAAAGACAGAGGGAAGACAACTTTCAGGACGTGCCTTATGGACTTGGAATCCACTGGAGGGCAGGCACTCCTGATATGTATATGGGGGGGCATGTAATTTTATTTTATTTTATTTTTTTATTTTTTAAGATTTTATTTATTTATTTGACAGAGATCACAAGTAGACAGAGGGGGCGGGGGAAGCAGTCTCCCCACTGTGCAGAGAGCCTGATGCGGGGCTCAATCCCAGGACCCTGGGATCATGACCTGAGCCGAAGGCAGAGGCTTAACCCACTGAGCCACCCAGGCGCCCCATAATTTTAAATATGGTATCCCAAAAGCATTGGGAAATGTAGAACATACATTCTCTTGGTTACTCATCTAAAGAAAAGGAAGTTCATTGGCTCACTCTATCTATCTATCTATCTATCTATCTATCTATCTATCTATCTTCTCTATCTAATCTCTTTCCATTCATCCATCGATCTTTCCATCTGTCCATCCATCTTTCTTCCTACTTCTTGCTAAAGGAGGAGAGGGGGAGAACACAACTGTACAAGCTTCATGAGGCATTTTCTTCTGAGGGCCAACCATCATCTCTCATATCCTAAAAAAAATGATCTCACCAACTGAAAAGCAACATTATTCTCCACTCTCTCAAGTTTTCTCAACGTTTCCAAGATTCTTCACAATTTTCCTCTCCCAGAGACATCAAAACACCACCGCAGACAGGCAGATGGGGACATTCTCTGAGGGTTTTTTTTTTTTTTTGGTTCTTCACTTCCATTTAAAATAGTCATCAGGTTAAATAAGAAAAAGCAAAAAGGCTCTAGCAAAAAGACTTCCCTTAAAGCTGTGTCAACAGAGACTTTATTTTTTTTTTTTTAAAGAGTGTGCTATATAAATACATCTAACCCCAGCCTTGCCGAGAGCTGTCCACTGCTGTTCTTCCTCTGGAGTCCGCGCCCCAGCTGTGTCTGCGAGCATCTGGTAGTGGGTTTGGTGGGCATCGGGTTAAAACATCCCTCCTTGCCCATCAGCACACAGGCAGACCCCGGGCTCTTGCCAGGTGTTCCCATTCTTCCAGGGAATTTCAGAGATCGCAGGAAGTTTAAGGAACATATCGAATGTTGCAAGTGGCCATGTTTTCCACACAGCCTCCCAACAAACATCTGTTTGAAGGCCCCTGCAGATGTGGACATCCAAGCATGGTCAGGCCCGACCTCTCCCAGAAGCAGGAGCCACAAGGGTAAGGCCCAGAGTGAGAGAGCACAGGGAGGCCAGAGATACCAGGAGGGGCCCTGCCTCCAGAATTTTCTCCCCAGTGGCTACTGTGGGAACAGAAATTCTACCGTGGGTCAGGTATTCCTCTGGGGTAAAGCTTTATGGCATCTTTGGACACTCCTCCTATGAGAGGAGCCTACCTCAGGAGGAGGAGTCTCCAAAGGGGACCCCGCTGTAGGCCGCGGGAGGCCACAACGGTCTGGGAGGCAGGCAGCATGGGCCAGCCAGCCCCGCGCCCCATCCACGGGGCTTGGAGTATGCAAGAGTCCATCCACCTAATTCCCTCCCCTTCCTGCCCTCCACGACCCAAAGAGATTCCATTTCCCTTGGAAATGGTCCAGTCTAGTCTGAGCCCGTCCCCCCTCCCAGCCACTCCAGGGGATGATACTGCTAAGTGTACGATAAAGGAGGTTGAAACTAACACATCCTCAGGCAAGGCACCCGCTCCGTGCAATCACCTGTAGACGCCCGGTCACCCACCCCCGCCTCAGTTTCTGTACTCCTTAAGGCTGTTCTTCTGGATGGCGGCCACCTTTTCTGACACATGTCGATATCAGTGACCGTGGCTTCTCTGCCCTGCCAATCAGCTCCCCAGTCCTCCTCTTGATCTCTTCTCCGCTCAACACCTCCACGCTTGTGCCCAGCCTTTCACTGTCAGCTGTTGTACCTCCTGCCGTGGACTCCAAACGCTCACTCCTGGGCACCCCCCTTTTCTGTTCACTCCTGCAGGACTCCAGCCACTCACCAACTCCCTGGGACCCCCAGTCCACTGACCCACCACCCTTCAGCAGCTCTCTCTGCCTTGGGTCCTCACTCCTGTCCTCGCCTGGCTCAGTGTCAGGGAATGCACTGTCCTGACTCCTTCCACCCCTGCCCCCCGCCCTTCTTTCCCTCCAGCATCACTGCCCAGAGAAACCTCAGCCCCAGTTAAATTCAGTTCTGAAACTCTGCACCTGCACCTGCGCCATCGCGGCTGAAAATAGCTGGAGAAACTCACGGCTATGTTGCACAATGGGAGGTCATTCTGGAAGCACAGCTACAAGCCTGGAAAAGCCCCCCTCTGTGATTGTGGGTGAGCCGCTGGGGACCTGAGCCAAGGTCAAGCTTTCTCCTCTACTCAAGGCCACAGCTCCACGGAGCCTTCCTCTGCCCCAGACCACTCCCATCCATGCACTACATATTGTAGATGCTCCCGTTTTGACCTCGCTTCCCCAAATACCAGATCTCTCCCCTTTAGAGAGACACCCCTGTAATACATAGAGGATCCGTATTACCCTCCCCATCTGCAACCCATCTCCTGAACGTTAGCCCCTGCCCCTTGATGGGCACCTCTCTAGGCAGGGTCCCCTCATGAGCCCCCATAACTTGTCAGGTCCTTCTCGGTCTTCCTCTTCCATGGCCCAGCAGCTGCTGTCGACACAGCTAACCCGCCCCCCATCTCCTTGAACACATCCTCGCTGGGGCTCCCAGCACTCCATCCCACCTGGTTTTCCTTCCGCCTCCCTCCTGGTCTCTGATGGGTCCCTCCTCCCAACCCGGCTTGCTCAGTGCCAGCAGACCCCCTGGTTCAGCGCCTGCACTTGTTATCAACGTGACCCCCTTTTCTCCCTGACTCATCCCCTCTGGCTCTCCCTTTTGCTCTGCACCTTGGTCGCCTTGCTGCCCCTGGATACTCCTCCAGCTGTGCCTTTGCTAGCCCCTCACCTACTTCGGTGACATCTTCCCTTATATTCCTACTTAAAACTACAAACCCCTCCTTGCGCTCATCACTCCCTATTTTGTTTTCTTAATTTATTTTTCTGCACAGCAATTGTCACCCATCCCTAGAATGTAAGGCCCATGAGGTCAGAATTTTATGCGTCTTTTGCTTGCCCGCAGATACCCAGCCCCAGAACGGTGTCGGACACATGGGCGATGTTAGATACATGCTTGTAGAGCAAATTTAGAACTTTAAAGACACAGAGGAAAGCATCACTTCTCTCTCAGGGCCAGTTTTTCTCTTCCCTGCCCTTGTGGGGTAAGGTGTAGGATCATTATGCCTTCCAAATGTCCCAAGTTGACCCCCGGTCACGAGTTCCGGGTTTCCTCTGGCTTTCTGAATGGCCAGAGGGTCTGGGTCTTCTGCCCACCCAGACAGTGAGCCCACTAGTTGCACTTGGCTTTTTCTCCAAAGCAGGGTACCCAGGTGGTCCCCTCTATTGGTCAGAGGAGACCCAGCTTGAGGTAGGACAACAAGAGCAAGACATGGACACCCAAGATCCAGATCCTAAACAGGAGAAGAAATGCATCCTGGGTCTTCTTGTGCAGAAAATACCCTGCTTTTCTGTAACTTTGGGAGCCTCTGATCACCTTTTACCTTCTAATATTCCTGAGGCAACAGGATAATCCCTATTCACCCGCTAAGAAAATCAAGACTCAGAGAAGCTGAGAGTTTTGCCCGAAGTCACACAGACAGCTAGAAGGACCTTTGGAACCAACTCTTGAAGCAATATCTCCTGGGGATTTGCAGTATTAAGGAAAGATGAATGTGACATCACCACGACTCCTAATGGCTCACACTTTACTCTTGAAAACTCAAGGTTTCCAAATCTTGGCCCACAGTCAGCAAGTCTGTTTTCCACCCAAGCCCAGGGCTGCCGCAGACTAGCCCATGGCCAGATGGCATCAACCTGACACTCTGCTCAGAATGCCTCAGGCACCTACGTAGGGCCGGCACACAGAGCCCCCCATGAGTGCCTGAGACCAGCTCTTTGGCTGCCAACAACGGCCTGTATTTGAAATCAGAGAAAATGTTCCCAAGTTACAGCCTTTTGTGATGTGCATGCTGGAGAAGCCACAATCTCCAGACGTCTCCTAGAACACAAGCTTGTGGAGGACAGGGACCTGTGCCTGGCATATAGCAGGCTCTCAATAAATCTGTGTCCAATGAATTTTGAGTCTGGCCGGGCCCCAGCGGCCCAGTGGGGCAGGATGGAGGCGCAGTGGAGCCGAGGGACTCCCTGCCTGGATCCCAGGCTCTGCCACCCGGGGCCAGCCGTGCCTCAGCAATCAAGGGCCAGGCAGCTAGACGCTCCCTGGATTTAGGGTCCCCCAGCCCCCGCACTGGACCCTGCACCTGCCCAGGCCCCGCCGGCACTCACCTGGGAGATGTGCGACTGCGTCTGCTCGCTCTCGCCATCCCCCTCCGTCTTGTCGGCCAGCAGCCCCTGCACCTGGTACTCGAGCACGTAGCTGTCAATGAAGCGCTCCAGCTCCTCGATCTCCTGGGAGCGGCTGCTCCCAGCCTCGGATGAGGCGGACGCAGCGGAGGAGTTCTCCATCCCTCCAGCTCAGGGGCCGCGCGGGGGGCTGCAGGAGACAGAAGAGCGGATGGGGTGAGACGCAGCTGGAGGGAGGTGCGGATGACGCCCAGTTGAGAACCACTCCCCGGGGCGCTCCTGGGACATCCTCTCCTCCGTCCCAGCCTCCCAGCCTCCCAGCAACCCACAGATGTCAGTGGGGCGCCAGCTTGTCTTCAGGGTGAAGACTGTGCTACAACTCCCCCTGCACGTGGAAGGAAGCTGAGGCCCAGAGAAGGCAGGCAGCGCGCCTAAGGGGCCCACGCAGTACTTGTGCAGCGTTGGGCGTTAGTCCACACCTGGGTCTTACCACCTGGGGTTCTGTAGGAGGCCGACCCAGCCTTCCCACCAGGCCCCGCTTCCCCACCTGGGGTTAGCCAAGTCTACCACAAAGCAGAAAGAAACAGACCATAGGCTTTGACAGCCCGGACCCAAGCACTGGGACGTACCAGGGTCTCCAGACACAAACCCCCTACGGGGCCTCCTTCTAAAGAGATGCTTTCTCTTGGGACACCACACAGCCCCCTAAATCAGGTGAGGCCTGCAGGCCTTGATGGTCTACACATAACTTTGCAGCCTTGGTATGCTGCGGCTCCTCACGACACACCACGCTCGGTCACGGAAGGACATGACTGGTTTTTAATGACAGAGTATGAAGAGTCTGGGAGAGCATGGGCCAGCCAACGGCGCCATCTGGTCACCCCTCATAGGCACGTGGCTCTCCCATGAGCCCTCGGGCCCTCTCTCCGTGCTGGCCTGGCATAACGTGTCTGGCATTCCAGGGTTACCCACTGACGGCCACCCGAAGAATTGCCGTCCTTCCCTAACCGGACTGGGTCAACCCAGCCATCGCAGGAGCCCACTCCTATCTCTCAAAGCCCCCACCGGACCCACCTCGAAGTGGGGAGAACTGGAACCCTTCTCACCTCTAGGTCCTTTCCCATCAGAGACCCTCCCCTTCCTTCTGACAGGCTCTAGGCCAGATGGGAAGTAACGGTTTCAAGGCTTATCTGGTGTCCCTTTCATCATCAGAAAATCGCTGCTTTCCCTGGGGGACTGCATTCAAGCAGGAGGAAGCCCAGCCTGCGTGGGGTTTCATCATCAGAACAAGTAGAGTGGTCTACCAAACAACCCCCAGTAGATACACAAGGAGCGCACAGGGCTCTGGGACCACAAGGGACTGCATGTATCCAGGAAGTGACTGTGCATAATAAAGGCAAGGTCCTCAAATATTGAAAGGAGCATTTGAATTTCAAGACCTTAGATTACTGAGAACTTTTTGGGAACATAGCTATTCACCAGCTATCAAGGGTTTGTTGAGTTTTCAACTGTAATGGATCCAGAAGAGGGCACTGGGCTCCAGAAATGCTGCTGAGACCATGAATATGGACTCCCCAGGACCATCTCTGGGCTTTTCTGAAGTTGGTGCTGGTGGTGGGGAAGAAGAGCTGCCCAGGGGGACACACACATTCCTCAACTGATTTCCTGGCTCATATTTTGGCATTCGGCTGCGTTTCCCAGCCTCCGCAGGGCGCCAGGTCTGTTGCCGAGGAACCGTGTAGTGCTGATTCTGGGTTCCTGAGCTCTGCAGCCCGGAGGCTCCTGGGGTATGTCCACCTGACCCAGAAGGAAGAGTCCAAAGTTTCCGGCCTGGGGGCCCTCCTCAGAGGGTGGCGGCAGGTCTACAGGGAGTCGGCTCGGACTAGGGAGAAGCACGCCAAGTGGTGTAGCGCCATGAGGGGAGGTGAAGGTGGGGATGTCCCAGGAGGCCCCTTCATCCACCTGCCATTCAAGGCCTACAGCAGGCTTACATCCTTCCTACCACCAAGGCCCACCTTACCCCTCCTGCTCCCACGTTGCCCACGACCCCCTCCTACCCTACTTCTTCTCCTGGCCACATGCCACATGTGGTAGGCAGAACCCTAAGAAGGTTCTGGGTGTACACCTTCTCCCAGTTACTCAATCAAACACTAATCTAGCTACTCCTGGGAAGGGATTTTGCAAATATAATTAAATTCCCAATCAGCAGACCTTAAAATGACTATTCAGGAAGGCCTCATGCAGTGCCATGAGATTCTTAAAACTGGGATGGGAGGTAGAGACAGAGATTCAAAGCATGAGAAAGGCGCAACACACTGTTGCTGGTTTGAAGAAGGAGTGCGTGCAAAGAAAGCACGCAGCATCCCGGGATCAGGAGAAGAAATCCCGGGTCAATGACCAGCAAGGAGAAGGGCACCCCAGTCCTACAACTACAAGCAAGTGATTTCTGCCAGCAATCGATGAGCCTGGGAGCAGACTTGGCCCGCCATTCTCCAAATGAGAACTCCGCCTGGCTGACACTTGGGGTTGTCTCATGACTTACTGAGCGGGCCTTCTGACTTTTAGAACTGTGAGATAATAAGCAGGTATTGGTTTAAGACGCCAAGTTTGTAGCAGTTTGTTACAAGGTCATAGAAAACGAACATATGATGTTCTCTTGGCCTCTGCTTTTGCTCACACCGTGCCCCTCACCCAGAGACATGTTCCCTTCCCTCTGCCTACAAAATCTAGACGTCCTTACACTCACACAATGTTAGAACAGTGTCTCAGAGGCCATCTGGCAACCAGCACAAGCCCCTGCTCTCAGACTGGGCTACTGGACAAAGGATCCACCCCACCTTGGCCCATGGGCATGGATACTCTGATTTCTAATAACAGGAATGGCTCAAGTGCCCTGGGCCCATATCATGTGCCAGCCACTGTTCTCAGCAATTTATATGCCTTTTGCCACTTACCCCTCACGATAATGCCATGAAACTGGTATAAATACACTACTTAAAAGTGAAAACTGAGGTTCAGAGAGGTTAGGTAACTGGCTCAAGTTTGCACAGCACAGGTCCAGGCGCCCCTACCCCCCACTGCCTCTTCATCCCTCCTCCTGGCAGCCTGCTCAGGCCCTCAGGATGTCTCCCACTTCCCATTCTCCACTACCCTTCAAAGCCCAGTGGATGCTTCAAGCCGGGTGTGTGCCTCTTACTCCCCACCGGGCTACCGGCTCTAGCGGGCTAGGCTCTGTGCCTAGCTCTCTGTCCGGCGCTGGGCAGATGGCCGGCCTCCGGGGGGTAGGGGAGATAAGGCTGTTGTCCAGAGAGGGTTGAAAAAGGAGCTGCCCACAGGAAAAGCCAGTGTCTAAGGCCATGCCCATTATTCCTCGAAGACTTAAGATCTTATCAAGGGCCTCCTGGCATACTTTCCAGGGACAGGTGGAGGACTGGACTTTGCAAGAACTAGACGGGAGTGTTTCCAGGAGGATCAAGGGCCTGGTTCTGCCTGCAATAGCAGCCGCTCTGGCCTGCTCTGCTGGGCTCTCCCAGGCTCCCGCAGGCCCCGCACCAGGCCACACCACAGTCCTGTGAGGAATCCTGGGATCCGTGATCACTGCAGAAAGGGACAGGCCATGAGACCCATTCCCAGTCTGCCCAAGTTGGGTGCCCAGAGGGAAACAGAGGACTACCCATTGGTCACTTTTGGATGCCTTGTGTGTCCTCAAATCCTCGTGGTGGCCCTCCTGTTCCCCTCAGAGTCACACGGTGAGGTCGACAGCATCTTCCCTCAGAGGCCCCAAACGCATCTGCCCAGGGTTCCTCGGACACACTCCGGCAGAAACCAGCAGGGCCCCCCTGGTGCCTGGCCCCTGTGCCCTGGCAGAGCGTGAGGTGCTAACGGCTCCTGGGGCAGCCCCCCGACAGACACTCCCTCCTCGGTCTCTCACAACCACTGAGGTGTGTCCTTTGTGGTCCCTCAGCAGGTCCCAGGGGATGGAGCCCAGCTGCCCACAGTGGGGACAAGATCCATAACACCCCTTTGCCGGGCCCTCCTTCCTCCTGTGTCACTCTCCCCAGGGGACACCCATTCTCATCCGTCCAGGAACTCTACTTCCCGAGAGGGAACCAGGCTAACATATCCCCCGGGCTCATCTGTATACTCCAGAATGAGTTCCAACTAGGGCACTTTACCTCCTTAGCAGAGAAGAGGGAGGAGGGAACGGGAAGGGGGTGCTGTCCACCTTCTCCATCTCCTCAGCTCTCGGGATATAGCGTTCAGTCAGACACCCACACTCCATTTTTTTAAAATGGTGGTAAAATACACATAACATGAACATACCACTGCAACCATTTTTAAGCGCACAGTTCTGTGGCATTAAGTGTATTCACAATGTTGGAGAAGCATCATCCCTGTATTTACAGAACTCTCCAGCATCCCAAGCAGAAACTCTGTGCCTATTCAACTCCCACTCCCACTCCCCTCATCTCAGGCCCTGGCAACCGGGGCTTTCCCTTCTGGCTCCTCAGATCTGTCTGTTCCGAAGACCTCATGGACGCGGAATCATACAACATTCATTCTTTTGTGACTGGTTTCTTTCGCTTAGGATAATGTTTTCCAGATTCATTCACGGGGGAGCACATGTCAGAATTCCACATCCTACATCGTATTACAGTAACATAGTGTTCACGGAGACCCCATTTTGTATATCCGTCATGCATCCAGGGACATGTGGGCTGTCTGTTTGCAGCTCTTGTGAGTAGTGCTGCTGGGAACACAGGGGTAACATCCGAGTCCCTGTTTTTGATTCTTTGGGGTGAGTACCTAGAAGCTCTGCTCTATTTTTAAGGTAAAAGGAATGAGGATGTACAGGGTGAATGAATTCTCAGGCCAGGGGAAGGCCAAGGAAATACAGGGATGCTCTCTCAAGGGCTTGGGGTGCTCCCCTCCCACCTGTGTTTCGGGGTCCCCTCCTGGCTCGGTTTCCCATTCACAGCAAATTCCGGATGGGAAATTGCCCACATGGCCAGGCTGCTGGCTAAGCTGAGAGAGCCAGCAAGAGGAGCTTATGTTTTTAGGATCCCAGTGGATGTGGGGGGCGGGGGGAGGATGCGGAGGAAGAAGGAAGGAGAGGGTGGACGAGAAGAGACACCTCCAGCGGCAGCCATCCAGAATGCGGAGGAACACGGCAGGCCAGGCCAATG